CCTGTGAAGAAGCAGCTCTACTTGGAAAGTACGACTTCCTCTCTATTTTCTTCCTCCCCATCCTCCGCTCCCCTGACGACTGTTGCCATGGTTTCCAGGAGTGCTGCTGCAGTTCGGTTGCCGTGGTTACAGCGGTCGTCACGGGAACAGATGAAAGTTTCTGATCAGACGCATCAGGAGGAGGCGGAGCTTCTAAGCCGCCACCTGCTGCACGGCATGCTGGGAGCTCCGCCTCCCTCCCTGTCATCCCTCCATCAGTCAGACTCTCATCTTTTTCATTTCTGCTGCTTCCCTCAGACCCCCGTCCTCCCCCCCTCTCTGATCCTCCCACAGAGGGCGGTATATGAATCCAGATGAATTGTGGGTAATAAATCCAGGACTCTGCAGGTTTTGGTAATAAACTCTGTGAAGTGAACTTCGATAATAATCAGCCTCCAGAGGAGTGACGGGAAATCCAAACTTTTTAATCATCCTCTGAACATCAGCTTCACTTATTGATTATTGACTGACATCACAGATTAAAATCTCAGAGAGAAGATTTCTGCTTTAAACATCCAGTAACAAAACAGAATATAAAGTCACATAGGAGGAAATGAGAGTAAGAGAAAATATAACTGCAGAATTTAAATTATTCATATAAATAATCCATTTTTATTTGTTTTCTGCTTCAAAGGTCAAGAATGAACTTTCTATCAAAACTGCTGAATGCAGAAAAACTAAAAAACACTGATTAGTTCATGAAGGATCATGTGATACATGAATATGTATCATGGATTTATAGTTAGTTTTTTAATAGTTTATAAAAATATATTTCTATGTCAAGTTAAATATATGTTTGAGGAATGTAGGTGGTACTTTATAGTTATTGATAAAGTTCATTTCCAGAGTCACGCATATATAAATCAGAGACATTCAGATGGATCCGTCCTGCCTTGGATCAGAGGTTCAGGCTGCTGCTGCTGGTGTGGGGGATATTTTCTTGGCACACTTTGGCCCCCTTTGTACTTGTAGGTACCCACTCTGTGCTGCCTGCCGGATCCCTATCTGCACATGTGCAAAAGTGGTCCTGTCTGAAAGACATTTCCACAAATGTGCCTGTTCATAATTACTCCTGTGTTGCTGTCTGTTCTCATCTCAGGGCGTCAAATACTGACGCTTTCAGAAAGGCTGACAAAGCGTTATTTGATGTCAGAGCTACCCTTCAGCGTCCAGATGAGACGCCCTGTCGAGACCGGAAGCGCTAGTAGCTAGCTAGGTAGCTAGCTATGTTAGTATAAAAGGCGTTGACAGCTTCCCAAAGCCCCTCCCCCTAACCCTAAGCATCACAGGGGGGTGGGCCTAAACCTGAGTCAGCGACTGTCTGCACGTCGACCGGCTAACCCTACAGCTGTGCAGCCGTCGCTAGCAGCTAGCGTTAGCCTCCTTTGTTAGAAATCAGGTTTTTCATTTCTAAAGTATTTTCCTGTTAATCACAGTGAACAGTTTCATCTCCAGAGATTAAAAAACACTTTGTTATCTTGATTTGAAAGACTTAGTTGGATCAATTTGAGCAGGCAGATCTGCGGTGACCTTCTTTGACTGACAGAACCACTTCTGAGCATGTGCAGAGCGGATCAGGCCGGCAGCACACTTTGGGCCCCTGAGTACCAACTGAGCCTCGTTTAGACCCGCCAGCCTCCCTGAGTGTTGTTGCTGACCATGTCCATCCCTTTATCATCTTCTGATGCTCCTTCCAGCAGGATGATGCACCATGTCACAAAGCTCAGATCCTCTCAAACTGGTTTCTGGAACATGACATGAGTTCACTGGAGTCCAGAGGCCTCCACAGGCACCAGATCTCAGTCCAACAGAGCCCCTTTGGGATGTGGTGGAACGGGAGATTCTCATCGTGGATCTGCAGCTGACAAATCTGCAGCACTGTGTGATGCTGTCATGTCAACATGGACCAAAGTCTCTGAGGAAGGTTTCCAACACCTTGTTGAAAGGATGTCATGAAGACTTAAAGCAGTTCTGAAGGCAAAGGGGGTCCAACCCGGTACTGGCAAGGTGTTCCTAATAAAGTGGCCAGTGAGTGTGTGTGCATATATATATATATGTAAAAAACCACATAAACACGCTACATTTGTGTTTGTGGTGACAAAATGAATATCAGCCAGTAATATAATCCGACCTGACTGATTCTGATAAGTGATTAGTGGCGTGTAGATGGAATTGTTTTCAGGTGAAAGAACGAGGCTGTTTTAAATATCCGTGTGTCCATCAGTAGCTCCTCAGTCATGAGAAAATATTCAGCTCAGAGATTACATTCAAACAACACACACATACAGGTGTGTGCCGTCCTCACACACACAGCTCGGAGCAGACAAACAGGTGTATAAGCGGCGAGCGTTCAGCAAACAGCCGCCTCGTGTCGGCGTCGTCAGGTCGACTCAGTCTGGGTGTCAATATTTGCCTCCGCACCGTTTTGTTTTCTCACCATTCAAATATTCATGTTCAGATTCAAACTGCAAATATTTGAGGTTTGGGCTGCCGGGGCCTCCGTAACCCGGCCGACGATCCGCGTCACGCCGAGCGCCACGCTGCGCCGCACCAACCGGGTTAAACAGACGACTTAGAGACGAGTTACCTGCAGACAGACTGACGGGTGCAGACAGGAAGCAGAGAGCAGAACAGGAAGTAGATCCTGTTCCTCAAGTCTGACATTATTACTTATTGATCCCTGAAGGGAAGCTGGTTCGTGTTGTCACTGCACCAGCAAACCGGGGAGGGACAGAAACCGAATCCTGGTTCTGATCATTATTATAATGTATTGAGATTAATTACAGGAAAATGATAATATCAATAGCAGAGGGTGTGGAGCAGGAAGCTCGAGCCACAGACCCAGACCCCACAGATCCAGACCCCGCAGACTCCCACAGATCCAGACCTCGCAGATCCAGACCCCGCAGATCCAGACCCCGCAGACCCCACAGATCCAGACCTCACAGATCCAGACCTCACAGATCCAGACCCCGCAGATCCAGACCCCGCAGACTCCCACAGATCCAGACCTCGCAGATCCAGACCCCACAGACTCCCACAGATCCAGACCTCGCAGATCCAGACCCCACAGACTCCCACAGATCCAGACCTCACAGATCCAGACCTCGCAGATCCAGACCTCACAGATCCAGACCCCACAGATCCAGACCTCACAGATCCAGACCCCACAGATCCAGACCCCGCAGACCCAGACCCCACAGATCCAGACCTCGCAGATCCAGACCTATCCTCTTTGATAAAGCTTAGTTAGGGCTGTCTCAGGTGAGTCCTGAACCAGCCCTTAGTTACGCTGCTCATTAAAGCACGTTGCTAACTCCACTTTCTCTCCCTCGCCTCTCTCCTCCGGTCACTTTCTGCAGGTGTTTCTAGACCTGGATCTGTGGTTGTGGCCTTCCTGCTGCCCCCATGTACCTGTCTGACACCTTCTGCTACAACAATTAGTCCTATTATTATTCTGATCATTGCTATTATTAATAGTGTTATTAGTTTTTAGAAAGGTAAACAGACAGACAGGTAAACAGACAGGTAAACAGACAGACAGGTAAACAGACAGACAGGTAAACAGACAGACAGGTAAACAGACAGTTAAACAGACACACAGGTAAACAGACAGGTAAACAGACAGACAAGTAAACAGACGACAGGTAAACAGACAGACAGGTAAACAGGCACAGAGGTAAACAGACACACAGGTAAACAGGTAAACAGACAGGTAAACAGACAAACAGGTAAACAGACAGACAGGTAAACAGACAGACAGGTAAACAGACAGGCAAACAGGTAAACAGACAGGTAAACAGACACACAGGTAAACAGGTAAACAGACAAACAGGTAAACAGACAGACGGGTAAACAGACAGACAGGTAAACAGACAGGCAAACAGGTAAACAGACAGGTAAACAGACAGGTAAACAGACAAACAGGTAAACAGACAGGTAAACAGGTAAACAGACAGGTAAACAGGTAAACAGACAGACAAACAGGTAAACAGACAAACAGGTAAACAGACAAACAGGTAAACAGACAGACAGGTAAACAGACAGGCAAACAGGTAAACAGACAGGTAAACAGACAGACAGGTAAACAGACAGACAGGTAAAGAGGTAAACAGACAGGTAAACAGACAGGTAAACAGACAGACAGGTAAACAGACGACAGGTAAACAGACGACAGGTAAACAGACACACAGGTAAACAGGTAAACAGACAAACAGGTAAACAGACAGACAGGTAAACAGGCACAGAGGTAAACAGACGACACGTAAACAGGTAAACAGACAGACAGGTAAACAGGCACAGAGGTAAACAGACGACAGGTAAACAGACAGGTAAACAGGTAAACAGACAGACAGGTAAACAGGTAAACAGACAGGCAAACAGGTAAACAGACAGGCAAACAGACAGGTAAACAGACAGGTAAACAGACAGGTAAACAGACAAACAGGTAAACAGACAGACAGGTAAACAGGTAAACAGACAGACAGGTAAACAGACAGACAGGTAAACAGGTAAACAGACAGACAGGTAAACAGACAGACAGGTAAACAGGTAAACAGACAGACAGGTAAACAGGTAAACAGACAGACAGGTAAACAGACAGACAGGTAAACAGACAGACAGGTAAACAGGTAAACAGACAAACAGGTAAACAGACAAACAGGTAAACAGACAGACAGGTAAACAGGTAAACAGACAGACAGGTAAACAGGTAAACAGACAGACAGGTAAACAGACAAACAGGTAAACAGACAGACAGGTAAACAGGTAAACAGACAGACAGGTAAACAGACAGGTAAACAGACAGACAGGTAAACAGACAGACAGGTAAACAGACAGACAGGTAAACAGACAGACAGGTAAACAGGTAAACAGACAGACAGGTAAACAGACAGGTAAACAGACAGACAGGTAAACAGACAGACAGGTAAACAGGTAAACAGACAGGTACACAGACTCACCTTAGCGAGCGAGCCGTCTCTCTCCTCCATCACGGCCTTCATCTCCTGAGCGGTGATGTCATTTCTCCGCTGCCTCGCCAACCGTAAACGCTGAACCAGAACCGAACCGAACTGTTCGACCTCCTGGACGGAGTCGGCGTCACAAACACACTGAAGGAGCTCGTCAACGTCCTGCTCGATGATAAACACAGCGATCAGATCAACAATCTGGGCTTCAAGCCTAAAAACACACAGGAGTAGTGAGTGAGTGTTGTTACCATGTCGGCGTGCTCCTGGGACACGTTCTCCAACCTGCACACAAACAGAACCTTTCAGTGTCTTTGTCAGATCCAGGATCTGTTTCTAAACCTGTTCACTGTTTCTGTAGGTCTCTGAGGAAACAAAGACCCGACAGGACCGACTGAAACCACGTCCCATCGGCAGAAACCTAAAGTACGGCTGTGATACTAATGTAGGTGAGCAACTGGTGACCAGGTGACTGCGGCCCCTGCTTTAATCCGGCCCTGACCCGACACCCCCTCAGTGTTGCCGCCGCTGACCAAATTAAACCTGGAGCTCTGCAGCAGCCTGTTAGATGACCTGAGCGCCGCGGCTGCAGCAGCTGCGCAGTAATTTTGTCCTGCGCTCCCTGAAGTCCACCCGAAACTCTCCATCATTTTAAAATGACTGTAAAGCTGCGAGGGCGCGGACCGAGCGGACTCCTCCGCTGCCGGCGGCCATGATGGCGGACGTGGAGCTCGTAACTAGCTGATCTCCTGCCTCTCCTCCTGGGAAGCGCTTTTCATTTAGCCTACTGCAGTTTTTCTGTAATAAACTGTAATAAGGTGGCCGAGGCGGCTCCGCTCTGCAGGGAACAGCAGGTAATGAAAGACCAGCCGCCTCCAATAAAGCTCCTCTAACACCCTGCTTACAGCCCATCCAGCCCGGCTCAGCTCGGCTCGGCTCGCTCCACAGCCGTCATTAACGCTCCCACACACACCACGCTCAACAGAAACAGAGGCAGCCGCCATTAATGGGATCAAATGATCCGGCGAGAAGAGCATCTTCATCAGTCTGGAAAAGTTTCACATGTCAGACTGAATATTCAGATCTGCAGTCAGTCAAGAGCCCAAACTGACATCCACAAGATGTACTGAAAATATACTGAATACATATCCACAATACAGAATACATCATTAAAATATACTGAATACAAACAGAGACACCAGGGGTTCTGATAAACTGTTTTTGGTTCTTTTGCTTGTGCATTTTTAGACATTTGACAAATCTGAGAGGTTTCAGGAGAATTATTATTTCATTTATATAAACGCAAGCCGTAACGAAGAGTGTGCTTACTTTAAAGCAGACCTCAGCACAGAGCCTTTTCTTGTCAATAGATGGAGGAATAAATAAGATGATTCACTAGTGAAATAAGAGCTGCAGCCTTTAATGTCACTGTTTATTAATGAAGATGTTTCCTGTTTGAAGAATAAAATGTACAAAAAGAAAAACAAACAGCAGCTTCACATTAACACACACAGTGACAGAGGTAATACAGCCTGCCTCTCTCCATTAGAAAAACACACACATTAACACGCTCACACATTAACACACACACACACACACACACACATTAACACACTCACACACAGTGACACAAACTCACACTCAGTCCTGACAGATGGAACATGCTCCTCCATATTCTGTCCCTCATAAAAAGGATTGTGGCCTCCAATATCAATTACCCTCTCATCCTGGGGGGGGCAGGAGGAGGTGGGGGAGGAGTATTATCTGTAATTAGATTTTCTGGTCTATTTGAAGGCTCCTCGAGGAGGACGAGAGCTGGTTTCACAGCTCTTAACGAGACTGAGGAGGTGAATAATGAAGCGGAGGAAGACAGGGAGGGGGCGAGATGAGGAGGGAGGAGGAAAGGAGAGGAGAGAAGGAGAGATGAGGGGAGAGGAGAGGGGAAGGGGGAGGAGAGAAGGAGATGGGGGAGAGGATGAGGAGCAGTGTGTCGTTTTCCTCCTTCATATAAACACAGTTTCACATGTAAATATGTAAATCAACATGTTGGGACTCAGAAGAAACAACAACAAACAAACAGAAACCTGCAGCTCTTATTAACATCGATGGAGTATTTCATTAATCCCAGCGTGAGCTGTAAGCACAGAGACCAAGATAAGGAACAAAAAACGCTCACCACGTGTCACTGCATATCACTACGTGTCACTGCATATCACTACAAATAGCTACTTATCACTGCATATCACTGTGTATAGCTACATATCACTACGTATCACTGCATATCACTACGTGTCACTGCATATCACTGTGTATAGCTACATCTCACCACGTATCACTGCATATCACTAAGTGTCACTGCATATCACTACGTGTCACTGCATATCACTGTGTATAGCTACATATCACCACATATCACCACATATCACTGCATCTCACCACGTGTCACTGCATATCACTACGAATAGCTACATCTCACCACGTATCACTGCATATCACTACGAATAGCTACTTATCACAGTGATATGCAGTGACACGTAGCTACCTATCACTGCATATCACTACGAATAGCTACTTATCACTGCATATCACTACGTATAGCTACTTATCACTGCATATCACTACGTATCACTGCATATCACTACGTATCACTGCATATCACTACGTATCACTGCATATCACTACGAATAGCTACTTATCACAGTGATATGCAGTGACACGTAGCTACCTATCACTGCATATCACTACGAATAGCTACTTATCACTGCATATCACTACGTATCACTGCATATCACTACGTATCACTGCATATCACTACGTATCACTGCATATCACTACGAATAGCTACTTATCACTGCATATCACTACGCATCACTGCATATCACCACGTATAGCTACATCTCACCACTTATCACTGCATATCACCACGTATCACTGCATATCACTATGTATAGCGACATCTCACCACGTATCACTGCATATCACCACGTATCACTGCATATCACCACGTATAGCTACATATCACTGCATATCACCACGTATCACTGCATATCACTACGAATAGCTACATATCACTGCATATCACCACGTATAACTATATCTCACCACTTATCACTGCATATCACCACGTATCACTGCATATCACCACGTGTCACTGCATATCACTATGTATATCTACATCTCACCACGTATCACTGCATGTCACCACGTATAGCTACATCTCACCAAATATCACTGCACATCACTACGTGTCACTGCATATCACTATGTATAGCTACATCTCACCACGTATCACTGCATATCACCACGTATCACTGCATGTCACCACGTATCACTGCATGTCACCACGTATCACTGCATATCACCACGTATCACTGTATATCACCACGTATAGCTACATCTCACCACATATCACTGCATATCACCACGTATCACTGCATATCACCACGTATAGCTACATCTCACCACATATCACTGCATATCACCACGTATCACTGCATATCACTACGTGTCACTGCATATCACCACATATCACTGCATATCACCACGTATAGCTACATATCACTACGTGTCACTGCATATCACCACGTATAGCTACATATCACCACGTATCACTGCATATCACCACATATCACTGCATATCACTACAAATAGCTACATATCACTACGAATAGCTACATATCACTACGTGTCACTGCATATCACCACGTATAGCTACATCTCACCACATATCACTGCATATCACCACGTATCACTGCATATCACTACGTGTCACTGCATATCACCACATATCACTGCATATCACCACGTATAGCTACATATCACTACGTGTCACTGCATATCACCACGTATAGCTACATATCACCACGTATCACTGCATATCACCACATATCACTGCATATCACTACAAATAGCTACATATCACTACGAATAGCTACATATCACTACGTGTCACTGCATATCACCACGTATCACTGCATATCACTACGTGTCACTGCATATCACTACGTGTCACTGCATATCACTACGTATAGCTACATCTCACCACGTATCACTGCATATCACTACGAATAGCTACTTATCACTGCATATCACCACGTATAGCTACATATCACTACATGTCACTGCATATCACTATGTATAGCTACATATCACCACATATCACTGCATATCACTACGTATCACTGCATATCACTACGAATAGCTACTTATCACTGCATATCACCACGTATAGCTACATCTCACCAAATATCACTGCATATCACCACGTATCACTGCATATCACCACGTATCACTGCATATCACCACGTATCACTGCATATAACCACGTATCACTGCATATCACCACATATCACTGCATATCACTACGTATCACTGCATATCACTACGTATCACTGCATATCACTACGAATAGCTACTTATCACTGCATATCACCACGTATAGCTACATCTCACCAAATATCACTGCATATCACTGCATATCACCACGTATCACTGCATATCACCACGTATCACTGCATATCACCACGTATCACTGCATATAACCACGTATCACTGCATATAACCACGTATCACTGCATATCACCACATATCACTGCATATCACTACGAATAGCTACATATCACTACGTGTCACTGCATATCACCACGTATAGCTACATATCACCACGTACTTGCTCTTGGTGGGAACTGTTGGGCTTCTGTAAATATCATCACAGAGTACGGTCTAGACCTGCTCTTTTATGAAAAGCGCTGTGAGATAATTGTTGTTGTGATTTGGCGCTATATAAATAAAATTGAATATCACCACGTATCACTGCATATCACCACGCATCACTGCATATCACCACGTATAGCTACATATCACTACGTGTCACTGCATATCACTACATGTCACTGCATATCACCACGTATAGCTACATATCACCATATATATCACTGCATATCACTACGTGTCACTGCATATCACCACTTATCACTGCATATCACCACGTATAGCTACATATCACCACATATCACTGCATATCACCACGTATAGCTACATATCACTACGTGTCACTGCATATCACTACATGTCACTGCATATCACCACGTATAGCTACATATCACCACGTATCACTGCATATCACTACGTATAGCTACATATCACTACGTGTCACTGCATATCACTACATGTCACTGCATATCACCACGTATAGCTACATATCACCACGTATCACTGCATATCACTACGTATAGCTACATATCACCACGTATCACTGCATATCACTACGTGTCACTGCATATCACCACGTATAGCTACATATCACCACGTATCACTGCATATCACTACGTATAGCTACATATCACCACGTATCACTGCATATCACTACGTATAGCTACATATCACCACTTATCACTGCATATCACCACGTATAGCTACATATCACCACTTATCACTGCATATAACCACGTATCACTGCATATCACTACGTATAGCTACATATCACCACTTATCACTGCATATCACCACTTATCACTGCATATCACCACGTATAGCTACATATCACTACGTGTCACTGCATATAACCACGTATCACTGCATATCACCACATATCACTGCATATCACCACGTATCACTGCATATCACCACGTATCACTGCATATCACCAAGTGTCACTGCATATCACCAAGTGTCACTGCATATCACTACTGAAAAGATCAGATAATATGAATATGTTGAAAACATGTGCGTTGGGTAATGTCCCCGACAGGTGAAACTAAGTGTGAGATGAAGCTTATTTCATCTATAGCAATTAAACACATGACAGGAGCAGTTGTTTACTTGCCAAAGGTGGATGGAGGATAAAATGACACTGTAAGAACTTTCCACAGCCTCATGTTATTATCACAACCTTTTCCTGTCTCACACACCTCCTCTCTTCTTCTTTCTCTGGCTACACACACCTGATAACTGCCCAGGTACACCCAGGTAACTGTTCCAAACTGCTGGGCAGTGTTTTACTCAGCCGGACGTCCCCATGTATTTCTGGTCTGACTGCAGCCTTCATGATCGTTTATATTAGGGCTGCAGCTAACGATGATTTTATCGATGCGTTGTTTAAGAATTACTCTTGCTTGGTGGCGACGGTCCCCCCCCCCGGTAACAGGATCAGCTGTGCACATTTATAGGTGATAGAGAGTAGTCCTTTCGGAAATTCATAGTGTGTCATACAACAAACATCAGACCAACAACCAGACAGCTGCTTTACAAACATCACCCGAGTGCTACAAGTTAAACTACAGACTCGTGCAGACTACACGACTTTCAGCGTCGGCCGATGGCCATGCCGTTCATACAACTTGCTCACCACTTATTGTGGCCTTCACACTACTTGACTGATAGGGGGTCACACACACTCCTGCACACGAAACAACTGTTGTTTGTAAAGATGAATTATAGAATAGAAGAATTATAAAGATGGCAATTATAAAGACAAAGAATATGGTTATAAGGATGGATTAGTACACGCAGGTAGCAGGGATTGTCTGAGTTACAGAGAGAGCTGCAGGGGAGTTAAAAAGTTAAAAAGTTTGGTTTACGGTGGACGGAAGGTAACATTACAGAGTTGTTGTTTTCTTTAGCTTGAAAAAATCCCATACTTTGGACACTTTTTTTTGTCCCTCTCTGTTTTCAGACAGCTCCGTCATAATCACGTCGTGTTCACAGCGTAAACGCGATGTGCAAAAGTAACAAATGTCCCTGTGAAACACTGTGCTGGATAGTTACATTGATTAAACAAAGCATCGATACAAAGAATTTGTGTCAAAGCATTTTATGTATCGATTTTATCGATTTAATATTAATGAATCGTTTCAGCCCTAGTTTATAAATGGATATTTGAACTGTACAGACTCTCTGAGGGTCAAAGGTCAACACATAAGACTGACTGGGTGTGTTACGTACTCGGCGGCTTGCTGCAGTTGACGTGCACGAAGCAGAGCCTCATCTCTCTCCTCATTGGCCAGCAGGAGTCGTGACATCAGAGCCTGATCTCTGTCCTTCTGAGCAGCTAACACCTCCTCCAACACCGCTGAGGAGACAAGGAGACCAGGAGTGAGGAAAGAAGGTGAGGAAAGGAAACAGACGAGGCGGCGAGGATAGGAAACAGTTACAGGCTGACTTCAGCAGAAACATCAATCTGCTTCTCTTCATAAAGTTTTCTGAACATTTGTTCTGGACGGATGGATAATGATGAGTCTATCGCGCCCGCATTTCACTACACCTATGAGTAAAACGAGTATGTGACAAATGAATGCTTGAATCCTAAATGTGCCATAAAAACATATTTTTAAAAAAAACGAGAATCAAACTGAAGCTAAAATAAAATGTTTTCAAAGGAGACTTCCTGTTTCTGTGATAATCACGCTGGATTAAACACACACACACAAAAACCAGCTCAGTTAAATCAATATTACATCTGATCGCTAGTTAAACACACGCACACACTGTTCTGTTAAACTAACAGCTGCTCGTTAACTGTCACCTCCTTACTACCACTGCTGTTGTCTTAATTACAGAGTGTGTGTGTGTGTTGGTATTAAACAGTGTGCATGAAAATATTCAAATATTTAAGAAGTCAGCTTGGATCAGATCTGATTAAGAGGAGAGTAAACTGTAACATACACCTCCCTCCCTTCCTCTCCTCCCCTTCTCCCTCCTCTCCCCCACTCTTCACCTGCAGGTCTCTCCCAGCCTCGGGCCTCCCTCTGCTCCTCCCTCAGCTCCTCCTCCACCTCCCTCCTTAGCAGCTCATTCTCCTTCTGGACCAGCTGATCCTGCAGCTGAAACACAGTCAGGTGTTAATCTACCTGTGAGGACCGCCCTCATCTTCCTGCTGTGTGTATACTGTTTATATGTACTGCATATGTGTGTGTATACTGTATATATGTACAGTGTGTGTATACTGTATAAATGTACAGTGTGTGTATACTGTATATATGTACAGTGTGTGTATACTGTTTATATGTACTGCATATGTGTGTGTATACTGTATAAATGTACAGTGTGTGTATACTGTATAAATGTACAGTGTGTGTATACTGTATAAATGTACAGTGTGTGTATACTGTATATATGTACAGTGTGTGTATACTGTATATATGCACTGTGTGTATACTGTTTATATGTACAGTGTGTGTATACTGTTTATATGCACTGCATATGTGTGTGTATACTGTATATATGTACTGCATATTTGTGTGTATACTGTATATATGTACAGTGTGTGTATACTGTATATATGTACTGCATATTTGTGTGTATACAGTATATATGCACTGCATATTTGTGTGTATACTGTTTATATGTACAGTGTGTGTATACTGTTTATATGCACTGCATATGTGTGTGTATACTGTATATATGCACTGCATATTTGTGTGTATACTGTTTATATGTACAGTGTGTGTATACTGTTTATATGCACTGCATATGTGTGTGTATACTGTATATATGTACTGCATATTTGTGTGTATACAGTATATATGCACTGCATATTTGTGTGTATACTGTTTATATGTACAGTGTGTGTATACTGTTTATATGCACTGCATATGTGTGTATACTGTATATATGCACTGCATATTTGTGTGTATACTGTTTATATGTACAGTGTGTGTATACTGTTTATATGCACTCCATATGTGTGTGTGTATACTGTATATATGCACTGCATATTTGTGTGTATACTGTTTATATGTACTGTGTGTGTATACTGTATATATGCACTGCATATTTGTGTGTATACTGTTTATATGTACTGTGTGTATACTGTATATATGCACTGCATATTTGTATGTATACTGTTTATATGTACAGTGTGTGTATACTGTATATGTACACTGCATATTTGTGTGTATACTGTATATATACAGTGCATATATATGCACAGTGTGTGTATACTGTTTATATGTACAGTGTGTGTATACTGTTTATATGTACAGTATGTGTATACTGTTTATATGTACAGTGTGTGTATACTGTTATATGCACTGCATATGTGTGTATACTGTTTATATGTACAGTGTGTGTATACTGTTTATATGCACTGCATATTTGTGTGTATACTGTTTATATGTACAGTGTGTGTATACTGTTTATATGCACTCCATATGTGTGTGTGTATACTGTATATATGCACTGCATATTTGTGTGTATACTGTATATATGCACTGCATATTTGTGTGTATACTGTTTATATGTACAGTGTGTGTATACTGTATATATGCACTGCATATTTGTGTGTATACTGTTTATGTGTACTGTGTGTGTATACTGTATATATGCACTGCATATTTGTGTGTATACTGTTTATATGTACTGTGTGTGTATACTGTATATATGCACTGCATATTTGTATGTATACTGTTTATATGTACAGTGTGTGTATACTGTATATGTACACTGCATATTTATGTGTATACTGTATATATACAGTGCATATATATGCACAGTGTGTGTATACTGTTTATATATACAGTGTGTGTATACTATTTATATGCACTGCATATGTGTGTTTATACTGTTTATATGTACAGTATGTGTATACTGTATATATACACTGCATATTTGTGTGTATACTGTATATATACAGTGCATATATATGCACAGTGTGTGTATACTGTTTATATGTACAGTGTGTGTATACTGTATATATGCACTGCATATGTGTGTTTATACTGTTTATATGTACAGTATGTGTATACTGTTTATATGTACAGTGTGTGTATACTGTTTATATGCACTGCATATGTGTGTGTATACTGTTTATATGTACAGTGTGTGTATACTGTTTATATGCACTGCATATGTGTGTGTATACTGTTTATATGTACAGTATGTGTATACTGTTTATATGTACAGTGTGTGTATACTGTATATAAGTACTGTATATGTGTGTATATACTGTTTATATGTACAGTGTGTGTATACTGTTTATATGTACTGTATATGTGTATATACTGTTTATATGTACAGTGTGTGTATACTGTTTATATGTACAGTATGTGTATACTGTTTATATGTACAGTATGTGTATACTGTTTATATGTACAGTGTGTGTATACTGTATATAAGTACTGTATGTGTGTGTATATACTGTTTATATGTACAGTGTGTGTATACTGTTTATATGCACTGCATATGTGTGTGTATACTGTTTATATGTACAGTATGTGTATACTGTTTATATGTACAGTGTGTGTATACTGTATATAAGTACTGTATATGTGTGTATATACTGTTTATATGTACAGTGTGTGTATACTGTTTATATGTACAGTATGTGTATACTGTTTATATGTACAGTGTGTGTATACTGTATAAGTACTGTATGTGTGTGTATATACTGTTTATATGTACAGTGTGTGTATACTGTTTATATGCACTGCATATGTGTGTGTATACTGTTTATATGTACAGTGTGTGTATACTGTTTATATGCACTGCATATGTGTGTGTATACTGTTTATATGTACAGTGTGTGTATACTGTATATAAGTACTGTATATGTGTGTGCATACTTATATGTACTATATGTGTATACTAAAATGAGTGTGTATATCTACCTTCTTGTTGATTTCCCTCAGAGAGTCGAGCTCTTTCAGTAAAAACGAGATGTTTTTGTCTCGATCAAAAGTTGGAACTCGACCAGACGCTGTGACTGGACTGACTTCCTGATGAGAGCTGGAGGAGACAACAAGGTTCAGTTAAACCCACAGAGTTCACTACAGCCTCGGTCTGAAGCACCACAGACCACGTACCCGTCTGACCCACAGAGTTCACTACAGCCTCGGTCTGAAGCACCACAGACCAAGTCTGAGGCTTCACCAGGGATAATAAAGGTAGGAATGATAAACTTGCCCTGAGCTGTGTCTGCAGGCTGCACAGCACCTTACAGCACGAGGGGCAAACTGTGGAACCTGTGAGGTGAAACCTCCTCAGAGTTTCACTACATCTCCTGTCCTTTGAACCGCCGCAGCTGGACAGTCAGGAACACATTTCAGTCAGAGAACCGGTCGGTCGTGATGGTGGTCAGCAAGGCTGGGATTGGTCAGGGCTCCAGTGACATCATCTCAGCGAGTGTTTCATTAGAGTTCCACCTGTGTGTAGTCAGGTCAGGTGTTTTAACCTCATATTATCAGATGAGCGGCGCAGAGAGGAGGCAGCAGGTTACGAGGCGTTGCTTTAATAAGCAGCGACTGATGTTCGCCTGTAATTCTCTCATATCGCCTTAAAGGTCAGGCGGCTTCTTAGCGTAATAAAGCGGGTAAATAAGACACTGTCTTCTGTAATTGACTGTTTCTGACTTTATAATATCAGCTGCTTCTAATCAGCTCCCTCTTTTACTATCTTTCTATTTCTGCCTGCCTCTCCAACGCTGCCGCTAATCAAATCTAAATTTAATAGGTCACATTTCACACAGTGATGCAACTCAAGCTGCGGCGCCACTTTCATTTGAAAATGCACCAAAAAGACACAAAAGCAGCAAAAGAACACACGAATTAAAACACGTGAAGGATAAGTTTAATGAAAAACTTTTTAATAAATCTCACTGCAGAGGCTCGAAGCTCGGCACACGAAGCAGCAGCAGCGATAATAAGATCATTATTTTAAAGGTTTAATAACCTGCAGCGTCTTTACTTTGGAAGGGTTTCAGTTAAACAGCCTCAGAGAGTCGGCCCTGCAGTCACATGACCACGGGCAGCTTCTCCTGCTCACCTCGCCGCGTCCAACCATCAGCTGATCTGTTCTGATCACTTTCAACCCTTTTATGTATATTACAAAACCGTTTAGTGAGAGCAGCTACTAATATTTCTGACATCATCGTGCATCTGCACAGATTGTGACTGCAGCTGGAGTGACAGATCTGATTTATGTCTGAACAGGTTCACGCGACTCTGACTGAAACAGGATGTAGGACAGCGTGCTGCTGCGTGTGACGCCGTTCACACGTCAGCCTGTTCGGGGCCACATTTACACTATAATGTGAACTGTCAATCAAAACGACCAGATCTGGGATATTAATCAGAATTGAGCTTCAAGACCTGCAGAGTGAACGCAGCATTCACACTTTTCAATGGTTAAGACATGCAGTACTATCAGTAAGTATTAGCAGTAGTAGTACCAGCAGTAGTGGTATCAGTAGTATTAGCGGTAGAAGTAGTAGTACCAGCAGTAGTGGTATCAGTAGTATTAGCGGTAGAAGTAGTAGTACCAGCAGTAGTAGTACCAGCAGTAGTGGTATCAGTAGTATTAGCGGTAGAAGTAGTAGTACCAGCAGTAGTGGTATCAGTAGCACAGGCCACCTCACCTGTCATCAGGGCCGACCAGGTGTCCTCTGGGGGCGGGACTAGCAGGACCTCTGGATGCTCTTCCTCCATCGGGGCCGTCTCCGCAGCTCTCTGCCCGAGGAGAGGGGCCTCGGCTGGGGGAAAGGTTCTTCTCCATCTCCCCTGCGGCTGCTGGAGGTCTGGAGGAAGACGCAGAAACCGGAGAGACAGAGCTCCTGTGGGACTGAGGGGAGGGGGAGCAGGAGACCGGAGGGAGATCCTGCAGGTGCTGAGGGGCTGGGGGGACACAGAGAGACAGGAACCGGTTTTAAATACATGAAGAGAGGAACTCAGACAGGAGTGCAGAAACCATCGAACGAAGAAGAGAAGTGACGGAGGAGGATCTCACCCTGAACAGGGTCAGTGTGGTCCGGACTCGGGCTGATCCCAGATCTGTGGATCAGAAACAACGTGAAAAGAAGAAACGGGAAACAGCTTCTGATCAGACTCTCCTGAACTTCCTGCTCTCCTGAGGAACAGCCTGCCGGGTCCTGCAGCCGCCCCCCAGGACAGACCTGTACGTACCCGTCAGGACTGCTGAGGCGCTGAGACGCAGGTGAAGGCAGACGCTGTCGCAGCTCCACGTTCACTCTGGGGTTAGCTGGAAACAGGAAGCACACTGTTACCTGAAACATGAAGCGCTGCCTCACCTGTCTGTCTCTCGTTAATATACCTGAAACATGAAGCGCTGCCTCACCTGTCTGTCTCTAGTTAATATATCTGAAACATGAAGCGCTGCCTCACCTGTCTGTCTCTAGTTAATATACCTGAAACATGAAGCGCTGCCTCACCTGTCTGTCTCTAGTTAATATACCTGAAACATGAAGCGCTGCCTCACCTGTCTGTCTCTAGTTAATATACCTGAAACATGAAGCGCTGCCTCACCTGTCTGTCTCTAGTTAATATACCTGAAACATGAAGCGCTGCCTCACCTGTCTGTCTCTAGTTAATATACCTGAAACATGAAGCGCTGCCTCACCTGTCTGTCTCTAGTTAATATACCTGAAACATGAAGCGCTGCCTCACCTGTCTGTCTCTAGTTAATATACCTGAAACATGAGCGCTGCCTCACCTGTCTGTCTCTCGTTAATATACCTGAAACATGAAGCGCTGCCTCACCTGTCTGTCTCTCGTTAATATACCTGAAACATGAAGCGCTGCCTCACCTGTCTGTCTCTAGTTAATATACCTGAAACATGAAGCGCTGCCTCACCTGTCTGTCTCTAGTTAATATACCTGAAACATGAAGCGCTGCCTCACCTGTCTGTCTCTAGTTAATATACCTGAAACATGAAGCGCTGCCTCACCTGTCTGTCTCTGTCTCTCTCATTAGTCTAATCATTAGCGAGCAGTAATCCTGTCGTCACGTCGAGCTTTCTGAACACTTGGACTCATCAGCAGAACAAACAGCTTTAATATCTCATTAAGGCCTCGTTAAAGAAGCCTCCAATCAGAGCGCAGCTCCTCAGGTGTAATTAAGACGAGGCAGGAATCAGTTAAACGGTTGTTAAGTCAAAAGTAAGCAACAAAACACACAGAGATCATCCAGAGATCATGCACACGCTCTGAGACACACACACACTGTCTGAGTGTGTGTTTTAGTATGTACTACACACACACAGTATGTACTACACACACACAGTATGTACTACACACACACAGTATGTACTACACACACACAGTATGTACTACACACACACAGTATGTACTACACACACACAGTATGTACTACACACACACAGTATGTACTACACACACACAGTATGCAGTATGAAGCTGTTAAATGTATTTATGGTTCAGTACTGGCGGCCAGCCTCAGCTAGTTTCTGGTTTTGGAATTTAGAAGTAAAGAAGAGGAGGAAAATAAATGTGGGATGTAATCTAGCTACACTGTGACCACTGAATAATCAACAGTCCATCAGCAGCCTGTGCGGTTTAACTTTCAGACAGACCAACGGCTGTACGAACATTAAAACCGTTGGCTGCGTCCGCGGCAGCGTTCTGATTGGCTGTAGGGATCAGAGGGCTCTGTGACCTTTGAGCATGTTTTTGATTTGCCGTCAATTTTCAGAAAACTGCCAATATTGTAAATCTACAGCCGATTTTCACCTCAAAGCTTCTCAGAAGAGGATTTATTGTAAAGTATAAAGTTCTGTTGTTGGCCTCTAAAGAAAAGACGGGTTAACGTTCACCACAGAGAGGTCGCTGTGAGGACTTCCTGAACCAGTTCAACGTCTGCCAGCGCCCTTTCACAATAAAGACAAAACCCGAGACGAAATTAATCAAAGTTTCTTTCTACATCAGGATCAATGTGATTATCGATCCATCTCTTCAGTGTGTCCGGCACGGCGTGTTGTTCTGTCTCCCGTTTCAGGTTTCTGCAGCTGAGGAAGACGCATTTCTGAGAGTGAACGCAGCTTCGGAGTGCGAAGACTCCTCTGGATAAAGAAAGCATCAGTGAGGGTCCGACACGGGACAGGAAGACAGGCAGCACGGCCTGATCACCTGACCTGCGTCCTGCAACACACATGAAGGTCACCTGCGCTCACACCTGAGGCAGAGCGAGTGGCGAGGCGTCAGAGTCGGGGCTCGCCGTCTAACACTCACTGAATCATCTCCCGTCTTCACTTTGAAACTTTTCTCATTTCCTGCTGTCCTCTACCCCCCCCACCCCCCCCGTGTGGACTCAGAGCTAATTGAGCGCGGCGGCTCTTCTTATTATTCATGTACAATTACAGATGTGATAATGTGCTTAAATCCTTCTAAATGACCGTTCATGCCTCGCGCTCGCTTTGAAGTCTCGTCAAAGATGGAAAATCTGCACAAAAAAGGGAAAACACAAAGGCCAATCAGAGGACCAATCTGGATGGACCAATGAGGCGAGGGGGGGGGGGGGGACTGCCCCCCCGCCCCCCTTCTTCTTCATGTAATATAAACTAAAGTCCATTAATTTTTTAAGCTGTATTTAATACATTTTGTGCAGAAAGTTTGGAGCAGAGAGAGTCGGGTGTTCCAGCTGACTGCATGAATATTAATGACGGTGTTACGATGATTAAAGAGGCTTCAGCTCAATCCAACAATCCGCCTGTGATCCGCCCGCCGCCGCCCCGCCACCGCCACGCCGCCGCACATGAATTTAGATACCAACATTAAGCCCAGGAGCACACACGCACACACACATTTACAAAGACAAACATACAGTAAATACTGATACACACACACACACGTTGGTTTTATTACAGCTAAACACTTAATCTATTAATCGATTACTTGATCAGCAGAAAATTAATTAGCTTAAATTAATTAACTATTTTGGTAACTGATTAATCATTTTTACTATATATATATAT